GGAGTTGTAAGTTCAAGGCCAGCCTGAGCTACACAGACCCTATTGGGGGGGGGGGGGGAAGATCAGAGACTGAGGTCACCCAAATTAGAGGTTAACAGGGATGTTCAGCTGTACCCAGAAGACTGAGGCCACTATCCTAACCCTGTAAATAAGGTGGGAGATCAGGGCTGGGCCAGATTCAGTGAAGCAAGTAGGCACAATCTGTCAGTTATGAGACCCACGGCACATGCTCAAAACACAGAGCCCAGGATGACCGTGCAGTTCCTGCAAATAGTCCACAGGACCAATCAACCACAGAAATTTGGCAGAAATGATCAAAACTTGAGATGGATCCCAAGGTCCCTATGACCCAACCACTGGACAGAGCCTTTTCTGTGTTCAACAACTGGGATCTGAAAGAGAATGAAAAAGACAGAAACCAAGAAAAAGGGCCAAAATTACAGCTGTGTAACCAACAATGCTTCAAGCACACCTGAGTCATACAGGGGACAACCCAGGCCTCATCAACAAAAAGAGTTCCTGCCTTAAGCATAACAGGCACACAGCTGTGCCAGGCCACCACAGGGCCCTGCTGTGTGTCAGGTGGCCAATGTGAGTGTTGCCACTGTCGGGTAGGGGCTAGGCCTGCCACAGCCCTAACACCCACTGTGACAAAGAGGACAGAGGGGCCTGGGGCAAACTCCATGCCCTGTACCCAAACACCTCCATCTCCTGTGAGAAACCCTTGGTGACACTACAAGTCACGGGTGAGCAAATTCAATTCCTTTTATTTTTTTGGTGGAACCGGGGATTGAACTCAGGTCCTTGAGCTTGCCAGGGAAGCACTTATTCCACTGAGCCATCTCCCCGGCCCCTCAATTCCTTTTAGATATAGCACAGCTTATTCTGTTTTCCTTCTCTGGAAAACTTCTCTCTAGAAATAGAGCCAGAAGTGGGGCAAAGGGGAGTCTTGGTCACAGCTGCTTTGACATATCAACTGAAGGTCAAATAGTCACGTATGAATTTCACTGTCCCATGGTGTCCCAATTCCTCATTAGGAAGATTTACTAATAAAACTGGGAAGAATACACTTTGTTTCCACCTTCAAGGAATGTACATCTTGCTACCTTTTCTATGTGTCATTGTCCCAGCCTGTGTTTATGGCACCAAGAACCTGGAAAGAATTTCTTCAGGACCTAAAAGCCAAGATTTCAGGACAGATGGAGGCCCACATGACTGAGATCACCACAGAGACAGTTTTTCCTATAATCAAAACCACCCCTCAACCATAGAGATTCCAGATCTCTGACACCAGGACTGAGACATGACCAACACCAGCCCACTGCTTAATCTTCGAGAAATGAATCAGTCTGTACCTCAGTACTATAGTTTGTCCTCTCCAGCTACCTAACCTGAAGTCCTTTCCTTTCTTTCCCCTAATATTCCAATTAAAAGTTTTTTCTTATAAATTTGAGCATTGGCCTTAATTTCCATTTCCACTAAAGCAAGGAGTCATGCCAGCCAGTGACACCTGGACAGGGTTCTTTCCTCCCTCTTTCACCAAGGCTGTCCCCCTGGCACACATCATCCTTAGCCACCTTTGTTCCCTGGCCACCTCATCCTCTTTCATTCAGATGCAGACCCACTGACTCCCTCCAGGAAGTCTTCCTAACTGGTGCTCTACCCCCGCTGTGTCTGCCACCAGTGCTTCCATGGATGAGCATGGTCTGTCTGCCTGTTCCCCCATCAAGGTAAAGGCCATGGGTCACTGACCCTTGTGTGGCCACTGCCTGGCACTACACCTGATGCAGTAAATAAGTATATAAATAAGTTAAAAAAACAAAGAGAAAAATCCAAAGTTAAATTCAAACCTCAAGGGCTGGCGAGAGCGTTCAGTGGGCCAAACACCTGCTTTGTCAAGCACAGGGACCAGGGTTTGATCCCTAGCACCACATGCCATGCCTGTGCTGGTCCCACCTCTGGGACATGCTGAGTTGGTGACTCAGTCCAGGCGTGGTGGTGCAGGCCTATAATCCCAGTGCTAGGGAGGCTGAAAACAGGAGGATTACTCCAAAGTCCAAGTCTGAGCTGCATAGTGAGGCTCCGTACCAAATACAGTAAAAAAAATAAAAAATAAAAAATTCAAACCTCAGTTTTGTCAGAGTCATCATTGCCTAGTAATTCATCATCCTCTTCTCTTCCTGAGCCTCTTGCAGGTCCTGACTGATGTTTTGGGGTTTCACCAGGATCCTCAATGCTTATCGTGGTGGCATCTGGGTTTGCTGCTAACGAAGTGGGTATATCACCAAATTCTGAAATCAAGTACAATACAAAGATTTCAAGGATCTTACACATATCAGAAATGTTATGCTTTCATTGAAAGCCAAGTTGTTACAACCTATGGACCCTACCCAAGAGTAATAGCCACAAGCTTGACGAAAAAAGTCTCAAGCAGAAATCAATCGGACATTGAAAAATGATTATGAGCACAACAGAATTTGGAGTCAGACTTAAGATTTCAGTCCTAGCTCAGCTATTTCCTAACAGCATGAACCTGAGTACGTAACTATAAACCTCAGTGTTCCTACCCACACAACAAAGAGAATAATATTTATGATAAAGAATTTGGAAAGTCAGGGGCTAGGGAGATGGCTCAGTAAAATAAGCACTT